TTAAACAAAAAACAAAATCTTCCCTAGATAAACACATGCAATAAGAGCTAACTGCACTGACAGTCTGGATTAATAACTTCCCTCTATCTATCCCTTTGTAATTTAATAGTCACCCACCCACACACTAACTTTGAACTAACAGCATGATTTCCTTTGGCAAAAGCATTTCACAACTGTAACACAAGAATGTAAAAAACAATTAAAGTGTAGATAGAAATGTTTATAAGTAGGTTCCCCCCCTCAGATAAATATTTGGAGAAACCTTCAAAATATGTAGCATTCAAATTAATTCTTCTTTAGGAGAAAGAGTTCAACATACTAGGCCATTTAATACCAGCAGCCCTTGTCTGGGTTAGCCAGCCAAACTTTTCCCCTGGAACACCAAAACTCAACTGTAAAGACAGAAGATCCAAGATAACTGCTAAAGAAAGTATCTTCTGATCTTTCAGTTTCTAAACTTTTCATTGCAGGCAGATATTTACACACTAGACTTTTCATTCTCATGCCATGAAGTCAATTTCAACTTGTACAAATGTCAATACTAAATTCATGTGACTGAATGTATCCTTTGAAATCTGCTGCTGTTGTTTGCGCTGCAGCATAGGAATCAATTCACAGCTAAACTACTTGCCTTTGAGTTGGCAATGCAACTCCTTACCATTAAGTATTTTATACTTACTGTCTTTAAATAACTTCTGTCAGATTTTAATCTTTAAACTAGCTTGATATTTTCCTATATTGTACCGACAACAGTTTGGATTTTGACTACTCAAAATAGTCACTAGAAAGATATGGAGACTTCCAAGTTAGTTCAATCCTCTACTGATTTATTTAAAAAAATATTTCAAAGCCATGAATTTATACTTTAAAGTCAAAACACTGCACTACAAGTCAATCAAAGATATTACCACCTAAATGCTACAAAGAGTGGCAGACTACATTATGCTTGGATATATCTTTTCATGTGGGAGACTGAAATTAATAAAATCACATTTCTGAAAGAAATAAAATTGTAACTCAGTGACCCTATGAGCAATAGATCGGGATCCTGTCCTATCCTGTGCCATCCTCATCATCTCTGATACACCTGAGCCCATTGCTACAGTCACCATGTCAATTCATCTCCTTGAGTCTTCCTCTCTTCCGCTGGCCCTCTACCTTTCCAAGCATGATATCCCTTCCAAGGAACAACCTCTCCTAGCAACCTGTCCAAAGTATACAAGACATGGTGTTCATCCACCCTTGCCTCCAAGTTGCACTCTGCCTGCACTCTTTCCAAGACATAAGGTTATCACCTTAAAATGATCCCTAGTGGTACAGTGGTTAAGCATTCAACTCCTAGCTAAAAGGTCAGCAGTTCAAAACCACCAGCCACTCTGTAGTCACTCTGCATCTCTAACAATGTACAGCTTTGGAAGTCCTTTGGGACATGACTTTGCTCTCTAAGGTCACTATAACTCTGAACCAACTCAAGGGCAATAGGATTTAAGCAGTTAATTTTTTAAAAAATCACTATTTATTACTTTTCTCAGATTGGATAACCTTAGAGGTCCCACCCTAAATGTGATACGTCATGTCAAAAAGCACCTAACATGCTTATTAAAAATGCAATTTTGGACCCTACTCCAGACCTACAGAAGAATGAATATTCTAAACAAGTGACTCTCACATACATTCTAAATAGGAGAACCAGTTATGAACAACTGTGTTAGCCAAGTGAGGCGTAAGATGATCCACTGGATGATGGAAGAAAACTGTAAGTAATTTATCTGCTGTCGTTTAAAAGTTTATGTTCTATACTTCTAATATTATACGCATTCATGTTCATAAAGAATAAATTTTACCTAATATATTGCTTTTGATGCCAATGAATTGTGGTGCTGGAAAGGAGTACACATAACATGGACTGTCAAGAAAAAAAACAGGTCTATCCTCGAGAGGGTAAAAAGCAAGTTTCTCTTTAGTGGTAAGGATTTTAAAGTTCTATCTCAAACACTTTGGACACTTGGCCAGGAGGGACCAGTCCTTGGAAAAGAACCTCATGCTTAGAAGGTGGAGAGACAGTGCAGGAAAGAAAGACCCTGGATGAGATGGATTGACACAGTAACTGGAGTAATGGATGTAGGTGGGTTGGAGTCAGTGAGACTGGCTCAGGATAGGGCAGGGTTCAGAGCTATTTATTGTACATATGGTCGCTATTAGTTACAAGTGACTTGATGGCACATAGCAAAAATACACTGCTATCATGGCACAAGTATTTAATTTGTAATGCTTCAGTTCTTTTTGTTCTATAACTATGACAACTCAATATATGAATTACTGGCTTTTACAGATATCTCTGTAGTAACCATCAATCCAAGAACCACTAAGGCACCTCTCACTGTTACTGAGGGCATGACTACAGAATCAGGGCTATTTATTTGGTTAAAAAACATCATTCCACGGATGACTTGGTAATTACAAATAAAATTGAGAAATCCCGTTGTTGTTGCTGTTGTTGTTTTTTAAAAAAAATCCTTCTTTCAGAAGAAATGAAATAGAATTTATGTTTCTCCTTTTCTTTACTACTAACGGAATGACTATGCATGAAAGACAAGTCTTTTCACCTCCATTTAAACATTCTGAAATAGAGTATAATCTAGACTGGAAAATAAAGAAGAATGTAAAATAGATGTAACACACATAGGTATGCACACTCCTTCCAATTCTGCAATGTTTAAGAATGGAAAACAGATCAAGTGGATTTAGATACCTTTTCTTTGTGTCACATGGAAACCCCAAAGACAATCTTTAATAGCCAGAAAGTATTGCCATCCAGGAAAACAAAACAAAATAAACCCATGTTTTAGATGTCAAAGCTTCACTTACACAGTCAAATGACAAACACAATGGCAACTAAAAATCATAAATTTAAATGACAGAATGAATTAATCACTACTCTTGCTAACCACCAAGACCAAGACGAGACGTCAGCCTCCAGTCAACTTCCAGACTGGAGGGAAACTCCAAGACCCCAGGCCCTAGGCCAGCCCACAGAACCATTGCCTCATCAATGATTTTAAAGTTTCTGGGGTCCTTGTTTTGTGTGTTACTGTTCTTTTTCTCCCTCAAAAGTGGGTGGCCTTGAGCCTTCTGCTCGAGGGTGTAACTTTAAAATCCTGTAGGTATTAATTTTAGAAGAATATTCATTTAAAGATTCAGCAATCATTTGTCTATTTGCTGTACAGAACAACTTGGAGTTGCTGTGATACTGAACGCTATTCCATAGTCGTGTCAAATATGATAATGGTTACTGATTAATGTACAATGGTTGGATGAGCTTCCAGATTGATTCATGTTGGGAAGCAGGAATGGTATCTACTTCCTAAACTAGATGCCTCTGGAAACTCTGCATACTCTCTCATAAATGTACAGAAATGATGTTCAGGTCTTTTGTGCAAAGCTTACTCTGAGTCACATTCAACTTGAAACACTTAACCACTGCTAAATGAGAGTAGTGCTGTTAAATCTGGAGGAACATTATTCCAATTTGTACATCATTCTTTGTCAATGTGCTATATGAGGTAACCTGGGTTTGCTATGATGCTGAACCTTGTGCCATGAGGGTATCACATATCATAATGGTTTCCCATTGTGGACAGTGTTTGGTGGAGCTCTCAGTAGTAAAACAGGTTTGGAAGCAGAAATGGCATCCACTTCCTAAACCACATGCTTCTGGAAATTCCATGAACTTGGAGAAGCAATGATAATTATGGAAAGGCATTAGCTCTTTTGTTCACAGAGTCACTCTCAACTCAACCACAATCAATAACTCCTCTTGCTGACACCAAAACAAAGAATTTCAAAAGTAACCAAAAGTTCATTAAAGGAGTTGTTAATGTGCCATCAAGTCACCTATGACTCACAGTATATGTACAAGAGCTCTGAACCCTGCTCTATCCTGTGCCAATCTTATTGTCTCTGACACGCCTACCCCTATTACCCAAGTCACTGAGTCCATCCATCTCCTTGAGGGTCTTCCTCCCTTGCACTGTCCCTCCACCCTCCCAAGCATAATATCCCTTCCAAGGACTGGTCCCTCCTTGCAACATGTCCAAAGTATGTCACACAAAGCCTCCAAATCCTTGCCTCCAAGGAGCAGCCTGGTTTCACCTTCTCCAGGACAAAACTGTTCTCTTAGCAGTCCATGGTATATTCAATACTCTTCTCCAGCACCACAGCTCAAAGGCATCAATTTTTCTTCTATCATCCCTAGTCACTGTCCAGTTTTCTGACGCATAGCATGTAATGACCTCCCTGGGTCAGGTGCACATTAGTCTCCAGATTGACATGCTCCTCTTTAGAACTTTTATTTTATCCAGAAGCTCAGAGCAAATAATCCCCCTTGAGAACATTTCCACACAATAAATATCACACATATACTCGAAGTATAAAGTTCAGTGTTGAGGAAAGAAGGAACAAACCTCCAGTGAACACTGGTTATGCCACAGCTTTACAGAAGTTTAATACTGCACAAGATTTAGTTCTCCTTATTAAAGCCAAGATAAGCTATTCTATTCTCTTAATCTTCTTCCAAAGCACCTTTTCCATTCAAAAGTGATAAACTTTAAATATATGTTTCAGCTCAGGTTAATGTAAAGTACATAAATCTATTGCCATGGAATCTATTTCTACTCATGGAAACTTTTATAGATTAAAAGCTTCCTAGGCAGTAATTTTTATGGAAACAGTCGGCTACATCTTTCTCCCACAGAAACTGGTAGTTTCAAATCATCACAGACTTTTGGTTAATGGTTGAATAGTTTAAACTATACCAACAAGGCTGCTGGTTATTAATTCCAAACACATTATTCAGTAAGTGCATTCTATAAACTGCCTAGAATACAGAATTAAAATTAACGTTTAAAATAATTTAATTCACCATTCTAAAGATATCATTTATTAAATCTAATTGAAATTACTATCCTTAAAAGAGATTTAAAAATCTGAAAAACACTTACTTCATTTCCATGTTTTTGTAGAAATTCAATTTCCTGTTGTGTAAATGTTGTCATGGAGATGGATTTGACCCTGTGTGGTGGATTTAAACCTCGCCTAAAAAAGAAAATATTTTCAAAATTCACTATTATATACTGTTTAAAATGATACAGCTACTAAAGCAGAACATTTTTATTAGCACATTTAAAGTTAGAACTGTTTTCCACTGATAGATTAAACAATATTTTTAAATTATTTAAAATATTAATCTTAACAATAACTTGGTCTTGGAGCAACCAAACTAACTAAAAAACATGAGACTACATTTAAATGACTACACAGTAAAAAGTCCAAAGAACTTGTAACATTTGAGCTTCTAGGAAAGAGAAATATTATTTTACTGAGTTTTCCTATGGAAAAGAGAAAACTTCATATACATAAAACTCTACTGGAAACACTGAAAGAGGTGACTACTTAAAATACATTGAGTAGAATTCCAGCCTTTCAAGAGTGTCCAACTGAAGGCATGTTGAGCCCACCCATATGTCAGTAGAGATATGTATGCTGCCATGATGCTGAACTGCCTTCAGGAGAGTTTCAAGGCTAAGGCAGATTAGAAAGGTCTGACCATCTACTTGCAAACACTGGAAAACAATGAAGAATTCATGAATCTGCTTAACATGATGAAACTGAAGGACATTATGCTAAGCAAAATAAGTCAGTCACAAAAGGACGAACACCGTATAAGACCACTATTACTTAAAACTCTGGATCACCATGGTACAATCTGCAAGCTATTATGAGAATGGTACAGGGCCAGGTAGGGTTTCTTCAAGCATAGGGTCACCATGAGGCAGAGTCTTATATCATGACAGCTAACAAGATGTGAAAGAGAGCTATGCTGTCAGTGTTAGATGTGAATGAGTTCACCACAATTCATAGCGACCCTATGAATAGCAGACTTGAAAGGTACCCTTATCCTGCACCATTTTTACCTTCCCTCATAAGCTTGAGTCCATCGCTACAGCCTCTGTGACAAGCCATGTCACTGAGTTTTCCTTTCACTGATCCTCCACTTTTCCAAGTATGAAATCCGTATCCCAGCATTGACCCCTCCTAACCCCAGGCCCAAAGTTTGTGAGACAGAAGTTCATCATTCTTGCCTTTAAAAGGCATCTTAGCTGGACCTTCTCCTAGGCCTATCCGTCCTTCGACAATCCATGGGATATTCATTCTTCTGTAGCCTCAATTCTTCTTCCATCATCCTTAGTCACTGTCCATCTTTCGGATGATGTTGCTGTGTGCCACTGAGTCTCCTGTGACTCATAGTAACCCTATGTACAACAGCTCTAAAGCCTGCCCTCTCCTGAGCCAGTCTCACTGACTCCGACACACCTACCCCTATTACTTCAGTTACTATATCAATCCATCTCATCTAGAGTCTTCCTGTCCTGAGCTATCCCTCCACCCTTCCAAGCATGATGTCCTTTTCCAAGGATCGGTCCCTCCTGGCCACATACCAAAGTATATGAGATGGAGCTTCAGAATCTAGCCTCCAAGAAGAAATTTGGTTTCATGCAAAGACATCTCAAAGACAGACCTGTTTGTTGTCTTGGTGGTCCATGGTAAGTTCATTACTCTTCTCTAGCACCACAACTGAAAGACTTCAATTCTCCTTCTGTCATCCTTAGTTACTGTCCAGCTCTCTGATACATAGCACGCAATTGCAAATAATTGTCTGGATAAAGCACATCTTAGTCTCTAGATTGACATCATTGTTTCTCAATACTCTGGAGAGGTCCCTGTTACATGGGACATAACTGAAAAAACCATGACTTGAATCAAGCCCATCTTACGCTTCAAACTGGTATCACCGCTATTCAGCACCTTGGAGAGGTCCTTGACAGCCGATTTCCACAAAGCAACCATCTTTTGATTTCCTGACTGCTGATGCCAAAGTATTGATTGTGTATCAAAGCAAGGTGAAATTATTAACGACTTCAATCTTCTCTCCATCCAACATGATGCTATCAATTGGCTCAGGGGTGAGGATTTTTGCTTTCTTGATATTGAGATGTAATTCATATTGAAGGATTTGATCTTTAATAAACACCTCAGGTCCTCTTCATTTCAGCAAGTTGTACCATCAGCATAATGCAGCTTGTTGAAGAGTCTTCCTCCAATCTTAACTGCACATTCTTCTTTATAAAGTCCAATTTCTGAAAATATTTTCTCTGCATACAGACTGAATATGTATCAAGAAAGGATAGAGCCCTGCTTCACACCTTTCTTGATTTTTGACAATGTGATGTTCCCTTGCTCTGTTCAAACAACAGCATCTTGGTCTACGACAAGTTTTGCATGACACAATTAAGTGTTCTGGGATTCTCATTCTTCTCCGTGTTAGCCATAATTTGTTATGATCCAGAGAGTCAAATGTCTTTGCATAGTCAATAAAACATAACAGACATCCTTCTGGGACTCTCCTCTTTCATCCAAGATACATCTGTCGTCATCAATTATGTCCCTGGTGCTATGGGTTCTTCTAAATCCACCTTGAACACAACCAACCACCATACCCATGAGCTTCACCTGATGGAATACACAGGAATCAGAGTGACTACATCTGTGGTAAGAATCATTGGAGAAGCTCAATGTTGGCAATCACAACCAGACTAAGTTTTGACTGTGGAACAGACCATCAATTACTAGTATGCAAGTTTAAAGTGAAATTGAAGAATATCAAAACAAGTACACAAAAGCCTAAATATGACTTACGTCCATCCCACCTGAATTTAAACATCATCTCAAGAACAAGTTGAAGGCGTTAAACACTAATAATCAAAGATCAGATGATTTATGGGAAGACATCAAGATATCATCTATGAGGGGAGCTCTGGTGGCCTAGTGGCAAGAAGCTGCAACTACAATCCCAGAGGTGCACAGTTCGAATCCACCAGATGCTCTGCCGGGGAAGGAGGGGCAATCTCCTCCTGTACCAGTCAGATCTGATTTGACGGTACACGCACACAAAAATAATAAAAATTTTTTAAAAAAAAAAGATATCATCTATGAAGAAAGTAAAAAGTCATTAAAGCCAGACTGACCAAAATAGATCTCAGTAGGGACTCTGAAAACTACACAACAAAAAGCCAAAACAAAGGGAAAGAAATGCTTAAGGAGATAAAAAATTTCAAATGGCAGCTTGAAAAGATAAAGCAAAGTATTGTAATGAAATGTGCAAAGAGCTGGAGTCCAAAAATAAAATGAAGATCTTGCTCAGTCAGCATTTTTCAAGCTGAAGGATCTGAAAGGCAAATTCAAGTCTCAAGTTGCAATACTAAAGGATACCAGTGTAAGATATTTAATGATTCAGAAAGCATCAAAAGAAGATGGAGGGAATACAGAGAGACATCATACCAAAAAGAACTGACTGACATAGAACCACTTCAGGATCAAGAATGGTAATGAAGGAAGAAGTTAAAGTTGCACAGAAGGCACAAAATATGATCCAGGAATAGATGGGATATGAACAGGCATGTTCCAACAAAGAGATGCAACCCTGGACATGCTCACCAGTCTGTGCAAGAAATTTAGAAGACACTTACCTGGCCAATTGACTGGAAGAGACTTCTATTAGTTGCCACTCCCAAGAAAAGTGATCCAACAAAATGCGGAAATCACTGAATAATAACACTAGTACTATATCAAGTAAAATCTTGCTAAAGATTAAAAAATAGTTGTAGTAGTGCATCAACAGAGAATCACTAAAAGTTCAAGCTGGATTTAGAAGAGGCCATACGAGGCAAAGAGTACTAAGGGGAGAGGGGTAAGTTTACAAAGGTTCAATTTTCTTATTGTAAATCTACATACATATTAAAGTTATTTTTGGGTATATGGTTTATAAATAAATTACAGTTTATATATATACACATACACATATATACACATAAGTATGTATTCTAAACTATATTCTAGTTTTTATATATACAATATGTTCTACAAATAAATAGTAATGAAATACATTTAACATATAATCTTCATTTCATGTTACTATCTATAATATCCTCAAGAGAATTTATTCTAATTGATACATGTTGTTGTTGTGTGCGGTGGAGTCGGAACTGACCCATAGCTGACCATCCAGTGGGTTTTCAGAGGCAGTAAATTGCATGGGAGGAGACTGTCTATCCTTCTGCTGTAGAGCAGCTGATGGATTTGAATCGGGTGCCTTCGGGATTGCAGTGCAACTTCTTACCACTAAGCCATGAGAGCTCCCTAATTAATATATAAAAAACTAATTCTTACGTATACTGTATGCTGTTCTTGATACTATTGAGTAAGAAATGACCCATAACTGAGCCTCTAGTGAGTTTTCAAAGGCAGAAAATCACGTGGGAAGAGACTGAGTAAATGGCATGCAGTAATGGTGAATTTGAACTGTGTGCCTTGGAGTTTGCAATACAACTCCTTAACACCTCTAGGCCACTAGAACTGTCTCGCTCAGCCATCAAAACTCCTTGATACTCTGTATGCTCTTAAATACCCCTGAGCTAACTCTGACTCACAGCAATCCTAAGGACAATGGATCTGAGCCCTGCCCTCACGATCTCTGAGATGCTCAAGTGCATTGCTATGGTCACTGTGTCAACACATCTTCCTGAAGATCTTCCTGTCTTTCTCTGACTTTCTTTGTCTTTATCTTGCCCAGCATGATGTCTTTTCCCAAGGTCTGGCCTCTCCCGGTAACACATCCAAAGTATGTGAGACAAAGTTTCACCATCCCTGTCTTTAAGGCACACCCTGGTTCTATTTCCTCTAAGACAGACTTGTTTATTCTATATAACTATCTACTTCTGAGGGTTAAAGGAAGAGTGGGAATTCTTCAACAAGATGGAAAGAAATACACACTACACATATTTTTAAAGTTCTCTTTTTTCCCCCCTAAGCCTAATTTAGCTTTCTTGTGAACTCACTGTTTATAAAACATTCTACTGGAATGACATTAGTCAGACTATTAGATGAAAGCACTGGGCAAGTAAACTACATCACTTTTACAGTGCCAATATTGAGTACCACCCATTCCGGATCCCAAAATACATATTTTAAAT